TTACAGATTATCAGTTGAGTGACTAAAAGATTAACCGACTTATTGTGTCACATTTTCAGAGACCCGCAATAAGTAGCTAATACACAAAATTACAAACAAATCTGTTTAGATGTGACACTAAAGTGGTTGAGATACACATTGCAAGACAATAATTGGCCGTGAATTATTATATGTGTATAAAAAATACCACTAAAAAGGCAAAAAGCAGGGAGTCTATATTTATTGTGTTGCCTGTCATTGTATGTATTATAATTATTATTCAATTTTAAGGATGTTTTAATGCAATTAATTAGTTACGTCGTCACTACAGGTTCTGTTCTCTGTACCCTCATTCATTCGAAGTGGCATCTTATGACTTCAGTCAGCTGGATTTGCAGTAATCAGGATAGAACACCTTCATGCATTAATAAACATCTAGACATTTGGTGTCAGAGTATTCACATACAACACATCATCTGTATTTTGTTCTAACCCTATTGAAGACTACCTTCTTTAGGTCTCCTTTCCCTACATTTTACATTTTTTGATGCCCTGAGATGAGCTCTTTGCTTGTGGCCACAGTTTGATTGGTCCACTCTTAATTTCTGACATCAAATGACACAAAAAACAAAAAAAAAACGAATCATCACAAGCTCATGTGTTTATTAGAAACAACGTGACTTCGATGGCATTATCCAACGGCGCTCACTTTCATACCATATAGACGCCATCCAGCAGATTTAAAGCGCCGCATGCTGCTGGTGAGGCGGGTCGGTCGGGGCAGGACCCTGAGGCGGTGATGGTGTTGACTGCGAACGAGGACACGGCGATCAATCTGTTCCATTGCTCTGCTAAATGTCAGCATGTGAGCTCATCCGGGGCCTTATTTACTTTTTATACATACAGACTTTATTTTCATTCATGCCCTCGCTGTGACTTCCAACACAGGCCCTACAAGATGGAATGTGTTGTGTGTTATGGAATGTGTTTCAAGGTTGTACACATGGTGATTAGTGGTTTTGTGTTGCCGTAGAGCTGTAGATGTACAGTTGAGTGTGTTCACGTGGACTGGGATAACCTCTGTGCACCTCTATTTTCCATACATTGGGATGCAAAGGAATGGTTTAAAAGGAGAAATGAGGGCAGAGACGATGCTCCTGAATCATGCAAAGTCAGTTTTGTGGTCTTATGTGACTTGGCCAGAGGAGGGTAAAGTCTTGTTTTGCACCATATCTGCTGAGCTCCATTTAGGTAAAAGGCTAAAGATGTCTTAAGAAACTGTGGTTTAGTTCACAATGTGTTGCTTTGCACATTGGGTCATCTGCAGATGTTGCATGTTTGAGGATCTCCTGGTGAGGACAAATGGCGCTTTGGGGAATTTGAGACGATCGAGAGGCCGAAGAAACATGAAAATGTTTTATAGGATTTGGATTTTTCAAGTCCGTATTATCACAAGGCGCAAGTGCATGTGTATGTTGAAAGAGTGCACAGTTCATGCAATCGCTCCTGAAGTTAATATGTGGTCTCTAAGCTGGCCAAATCAAAGTTACAAAACACACTCGCTCTGTATTTCCCCAGACAAATCACTTACTTGTAGTACGATGCCACGGCGCTGTTCACTGGGCATTATTTTTTTTGCCATCGTGCCTGTAAATCTCATATTATCACAGCACCCACCTGCTCTGCTAATTTTGTTTGTGTCCAGGTTCCTTCTGTCCACCCACAGACAGAATGAAGGGCACGGACAGAAATGTCAGGTGTTTTCCTAAACCCACTCTTTTATTACAAGGTCCCACAGTGCACCTGCTTTTCACTCCCCTGTTTTAAATGAAAGAGGCATGTTGACAAAATGATTTTCACTCTCTGGAGTGCAAAAGTTTTTCTCCTTATTGCTTTTGATTAATGGTGTATATGGGCAGTGATGAAATCTTTTGGCACTCTGGGAAAAACACGGCTTTTGGCAGATATTTGTAGCTGCCAAATGTACAATTTCCACCTCTCTCAAGTTTTGTGATGTCTTCATCTTGCTGAGCCTTTCTGGAGGGTTCCTCTGCAATTAAGTCCATCAGGGAAGGTTGTTTGTATATTTAAGCATTTGTTATTTACCACTGAGAATATATTACTCAATAGAGATTTTTATTTCTCCACAATGCTGCCATGTTGAACAACAGCCACAAGGGGGAGCAGCAGTAACAAGGAGACCAGAGACTGAACATAGCTGCAAATTATCTCCCATTCTATTGATCCCTTGTACTAAAAGACAGATAAGAATATTAGGAAACGAGGACATGCAAACATCATTGGCTATATGTGTTGTGTTTATGCGTGCCTGTTGTCAGAGAGGTCTTTAGAGGAACCCGGCTGGAGCAGGCTGCAGCTCGCTGTGGTGATCGTGGTGCCGTCCTGCCTGCTCTGCGTGGGGATCCTGCTCGGCTTGTTCGTTGTGCACGGCCACCGTTGTGCCTACAGCCGAGCCCACAAGAAGGACCCGGAGGAGGCTCTGGATGACCAGATGCTAATGTCACCTGACAAATGTCTCAAAGATCTCATCTATGACATGAGCACCTCAGGCTCAGGATCAGGTGAGCTGCCCTTTGTCTGATATGTTGGCAGATGTGATGATCGGTTTCTCTCACAAGGAACTTTTACAGATTCATGAAGGAGTTTTGTTAGAAGCAGTCGTCCAGCTGTGATGTGCTGACACAAAACCATGTTGTCTGATGCTCATAGTTTTGGAATTGTGTGCATTATGCCTTGCAGGGCTCCCACTGCTGGTCCAGCGAACCATAGCTCGAACCATTGTCCTGCAGGAGACCATTGGGAAAGGTCGGTTTGGCGAAGTGTGGCGGGGCAAGTGGAGGGGAGAGGACGTGGCGGTGAAGATCTTCTCCTCCAGAGACGAGAGGTCGTGGTTCCGCGAGGCAGAGATTTATCAGACCATCATGCTACGGCATGAGAACATCCTGGGATTTATTGCAGCTGATAACAAAGGTGCTAGAAGTAGATATTCAAACTTAATTTAATCAGTACAAATTGCAGTTATGAGATAAACGAGCCAACCTATGAGTGTGTGTTTTGTTCTGCAGATAACGGCTCATGGACTCAGCTCTGGTTGGTGTCGGAGTACCATGAGCATGGCTCCCTGTACGATTACCTGAACAGGTACACGGTCTCCATGGAAGGCATGGTTGTTCTCGCATTGTCCATAGCCAGTGGACTGGCACATCTCCACATGGAAATCATTGGCACACAGGGTACGAACACACCTAGAATACACTTGAAAAACCTGACCTCATACATAAGCACTGAGACACTAACGTGCAAAATATAACCGAATTATTAAAATTTAATCAACAGGTAATCTGTTTATTAATCAATTGCTTACTTTTTTAAATTAATCAAAATGCCCTTTTGTCTAAACAAAGTAAAAAAGTACTAAAAAATAAAATGAAGGGAGTTTCACAAAGGCCAAAGGTGGCATCTTGAATGTATCCTCATAAAACATGATAATAAGCAGAGAAAAGCAGCAATTCCCAACATTGGAGAGGCTCTAACTACCAAATATGTGGGATTTATTCTTGATAACTGACAAAAAAGTAATTTCTTTCAACAATTTGCTGCTCGTAAAAACTTAATATTCGAGTAACTACAGTCAGATTTATTCATCCCCTTCCATTAAAGAAAAGGCAAAATTCACAAGAGTCACTCAAATAACTAGAAAAAAGTAATAATAAATAAAAATTTGCTAAATTATAAATTAGTGAAATAAGACATTGCTTTTGAATTGTGGTTGAAAAGAACAATTTAAAAAAAAAAAAAAACTGTCCTGGACCAATTACAGCACTTTTCTGATGAGTAGTGAAATCCAAACACCTGTCAACAGGTGCAGAAGTCTGACTGAGAGTTACAGAAAACACTTGATGGCAGTGATCGGCTCAAAGGGTTGTTCAACTAAATATTAGTTTATGGGTCCCATCATGCATTTAAAAATAGGTATATAAAAATATTTCTGTTGAACCACAATTCAAAAGCAATGTCATGATTTTCATTAAATTCTTATTTATTATTATTTTTGTAAATTTCAACTTATTTCACTGACAGCTGATACAGGGATACGATGAGATGATATATATCACATTAAACGGTTCCCTAACTTCCACCCATCTCTGAAAGCTAAAAAAGATTTTTGCAGTAATGTCAACAAGTTTTTTGGGCTCGTGACCTTATTTGTTGCCTTCTTGCTTCTAGGGAAGCCTGCCATTGCTCACAGAGACCTGAAGTCTAAAAATGTGCTGGTGAAGAAGAATGGGACGGCAGTCATTGCAGATTTGGGCTTGGCTGTAAAACACGATTCCAGCACAAACACCATTGACATACCGTCGAACCACAGAGTGGGAACCAAGAGGTTGGAGTTCTGTCGCCACACACAGCTAACACACACAAAATAGATATTTGCATTGACACCGAAGTGACCTAAAAACCCGGGCTTTCTCTAAAGTTAGTGTGTTTTGAGAGAATTTTGCCAGATACTATTATCGGCTCACAATACGAAAGGAAACCAGCCTCCTAAGGCATCGTATCCTGCAAGAAAAGCAAAAAACCACAATCACAAACATGGGTTTCCATTCGTCCTCCACACTGAGTCCCACTAGTGATTCCAGGAATAATTTGCTTTGTTTGTTAAGAAAGTAATGTGTGTACATAGTGCAAAAATAAAATAATGAGCTGTTGTGGGTGTTGTTGAAGGTCTTTTGAGAAAAAAAAATGCTGAACAAAAGTCATGAAAGCTCCAGCTGGTTGGTGTAGAGCAAACAGGACTGATGCAACACTGACTCTGTCAAACAGCACACACACGGCCTTTAAAGACCACCCACGCAAATTAATTAAGCAAATATTCCAACAGGTACTGGGCTTTTTGTTTCATTAGGCTTTAATCATTTTGTCCTCTGCAGGTACATGGCTCCAGAAATCCTGGATGAGACGATCAATATGAGCTGCTTTGAGTCATTCAAGCGGGCGGATATTTATTCGCTGGGCCTGGTGTTCTGGGAACTCGCCAGAAGATGCTCTGTTAGGGGTAACTTAAATGACACACACACACACACTCCCACTTGTTTATCAGCATAAGTAGAAATATTTAATAGATAAGCCATCGGCTAAACCGCACCGTGGCCCGAACAGCACGCACACAACATCAGTGTCAATTTGTAGGATTGTGTTTTTCCGTACGTTGGAAATCTTCAGGGAGCTCTGAAGAAAACCGTTATAATGATCAAAAATTCTGTCTTCCACAGGACTAAACGAGGATTTTCAGCTGCCTTATTACGACATGGTGCCTTCAGATCCGTCCATTGAGGAAATGAGAAAGGTGGTTTGTGATCAGAAACTCAGACCCAATGTTCCCAATCAGTGGCAGAGCTGTGAGGTGAGACAGAGAAAACAAACTATCATGTAAGATAGTCGACAATGTCATTCATTATTACTGCAGGCATGTTTGTAGTTTTGTCCATTGGTTTGCCAGTTATAGAAACACTGTATTCTGAATTAGGGATGCACAATATATCGGCGACCACATCGGTATTGGCCGATATTAGTATTTTTTTCCGATATATTGGTATCGGTCAGATGAATAAATTTAGCCGAAGTGAAAAACTGATGACTGTCTAACATTAGTGCCTTCGTCTCTACTTTTGATATCGCTGCTATTTAACAGATGGTTTTACTTAAATGGTCCTGGACTTGAACATTAAATATGTTTTAATATGTTTTGTTACGTAATAAAGAAGACTACATGGTCCAATTTAGGCTTCTTTTGAATAGCTTTCACGTTCTCACAGTGCTTGCTCATTTTTCGGTGTGAACAAAAATTGAATATCGTCATCGGTAACATCGGTTATTGGTGATATCAGAAATCTTAATATCAGACATCGGTATCGGCCAAAAGTTTGAATATCATGCATCACTACTCTGACGTCTGGGATCATGGCGACATCAATACAGTAAGAAAAGAAACACAAGCAACAGACAGCAGTTTAGCCAGAATACTGAAAACCACGACATCGGGAAATGAAACGAAAACACGGAAATGATGCAAATAACTTCAAACTGCACAGGAAACCTTCATGCAGTGGTCTGCACAGCAACTATAATAAATCACCTCAGCATGCGACAGAACAAGTGCTTGCTGCACGGCACGAGTTGTAAAGGAAAGTTTCTTCAAGTAAAATGAATTGTAAATAAATATTTTTATATGTACAGTGAACCAAACTATGTATGTGGAGGAATCTAAAATGTTTCAGCGACTCCTGGTGGATCAAAAGCTTTAAAATGTGGATCTTGGCCTTGTGCATATAGTTTCTGCATAAAATCGTTCACACAATTACTTCAAATGATGCTGCTGTTTTTGTTATTATTAAAAAAAACACAGAAAATTAATTATTTTCCAGGTACATATATCAGTATATATATCAGTAATTAGCAGCAACAGTGATTCTGATGCATTATTACTTTTTTGTACAGATTTTTAAAAAGTTAGAAGGAAAATAGAAGTATAGCATATTAATATTGTTTTTCATTTCCGGAGCATATTTCTTTAACCAGCTGTAGTACTGATCATAACTACCAAGCATTCTTTCATTTTTAGGATTTTAATCCTTTAAATGCCTTTTTTTTAAAAAAAAAAAAAAACACAATAACACTACTTCTTTCTTTCTTTCTTTCTTTCTTTCTTTCTTTCTTTCTTTCAGAAACATAAAAAGTGAATTGCTTTACACATAAATGCTCAGAACATTTTGGGTTTTTTGGATGATCACAATCTGGGATATGTCAGTGATTGACAAAAACACAGATTATTATTATTTTTAATGCAGCATCTGATTAAAAACAACAAAACAAAACAAACTCACTCTCAGGAACTGCGTTAAAAACACTATCATAGAATATTATATACTACTAAGAAGAGCCAAGCTCACCCTGTACTTTCCCTTCTGGATTACATCACTTGTTTCGATCATTATTGATATTATTGTTATTCAGGGGAACAGTGGAGGCTGGTGTCTAAATGAAGCCATGTTTTGTGCTGTTGTGTTTTAACGCCGTCTCCTTGCTGACACACCAGGCTCTGCGCGTGATGGGCAAACTGATGAGAGAGTGCTGGTACGCCAACTCTGCTGCGCGGCTGACTGCTCTGCGGGTCAAGAAAACAGTGTCTCAGCTGTCCACCATCAAGGACGTCAAAGATTAGTTCCATTTGTTGCCCTGCGGATCAGCGCCGGTGCTGGCGCTGGTGCAACGCGACGGGACTGGGAGCAAACAGGGAGAAGGTGGCGTCTCTCTGGCTGCCTGAGGCTGCCCTCTTCAGGACGCAAACACACCCTCAGAGAGCGTCATCAGGTTGTTGCTGGTGCCAAAGTCTTGTAGGAGGTGTCCGTGGAAGCTTTAGCACGTAGACACCCGAATCCACCGACATTTTAACCAAAACGTTTGGTAGGAAGAGCCATATGAAATAAGTGATGTATATAAAGATTGTTTTGCTACCTCAGTATTTTAAGTGCCCAAAGCTTGAAGTTGCACATTGTTTTGTGTTTCGTGCCATATCTTGCAGCGTAATATGCAGTACTGCTGGGTAGGTTGTGTGCTACGTGACAATCACAAAGAAAACTGGATGAAAGCTCCCAGTGGATCCAGGCTGGTTTGTAATGACACACCGTCCCCGATCAAGTGTTCTAGATGCTTTTGCATTAGTTTGACCAGCGTTGTTGAATGATTTGTTGAAAACTCTGGATAGTTTACGCCACACTTGGCAGGAAAACAGCCGCCGGAGAATCTTTTTACATCCACGACTCTTTAATAAACCGTCGACTGTTGGCTATTCAGGGTAGAGAGATGAATGGCTGACAGGACATTGGACAGTTTGTTTGTTGGTCCACAACTAAAAGTATTTACCCGTGGCACAGACATTCGTAGTCCCTCCAATGACTGAACTGTTCATCTAGTACCACCATCAAACACAGCTTGAACTAGTGAAAGCTGAGCCTGACAAACCAGAGTCGAGTCTTTAACCGGTCGCCCTAACAAGTTGTGATTTACAGAACAACTTGACGCTACTCTCAGGCTAAACCTTACATATTTTTTGACCGACGAGTTGCAAACACGTCCCTTTTTCAAGAGCCTCGTGGCACAGCTAGTGCTTTAAACATTTAAATACTATTCTTGATACAAAAGACAAGCAAATCTATAAATTCCTAATATATATATTTTGCACAATGAAGCTTTTGGTTATTGGAAAGAACTGCTCTCTGATAGCTGTATGATAGTCTTTGTATATGTATTCATGGATTTGAACTTAACTTCAGTATTGTTCTCATTGGCTCCAAGTGTTGTTTGTATTTTTTTTAAGCAGGGAAAAGTGACATATAATGGTATTTACATGTGTAATGTTGTAATGCTGACTCAGCAGTTTTGCGGCAGGTTTCCATATTGTACCACATGAAGAAAAAAAATGATAACATGACAGTAAGATGAATCGAAAGCAAGAAAAAAAAAATCCAAAAAGGCTGATGTAGAAGCAAAAAAAAAAAGAAAAAAAAGAAAGATGCTGTGGTAACTGTGTACATTAACACTGGTGGTAAATCAGCTTTTCACTAGGGGAGCACAGTTTAAGTGATTGGTCCACATTAGGATCACTAATGCCACTGTCTGACGTGGCCTATAAAGCCTTGACATAACAGGCTTAGGGAAAGTGCAGTGTGTGCTTGTATGGACCAGTGTGTGTGTGCAGGTGTGTGTGTGAGTGTGTGTGTGTTTCATATCATGGGAAGTGACCCCGTATTTAAAGATGTGATTGATCATTGCAGTCTTAACTGTGAAACTGTGAAGCTGGTGTTTTGGATAGAAACATGTCCGAGGCTTTCTGTTCAGCTGCAGCTCCCGGTCGCGTGTTCACATTCTCATAGCAGCTGACATGCTTCGACATAGCTGCTTGGTATCAGTGTTGACACATGTTGAAAGTGTTCCTACTAGCAAGGCGTCATAACGATATGTAGCATCAGCAGTGTTGCTTCTCGAAAGCAAGCTACGTACAATAGCCCGCTGCTGTCTCGGCAAATATCAGCTCATTTGCAAGTCTTTGCGTGTTTCTTTCTGTGAGATGATTAGTTAACTTCAGTCGGGGAGTTATCTGGCTACGTTGCAAAGAATAAAGATGTTCAAACTGCTTTATCAAACCGACTGGCCCTGCCTCTGTCCATTGGAAAAAAATACCTATAATATAGGTATGTTAAGTTGGATCTGTGCTGAACCAATGTGTCATATCTGTGAGAATTAGAAAAAAAATGACGCAAAGGCCGAGCTGAGAGCAAAGCATGCGAAAGACTTATCAGTCATTTCCAAAGAGGAGTGATCACCATGTGCAATTTCTGACTGGTGTCTTTTTTTAATATATTGTATATGACATAGATGAATATATACAAATGTGACGCATCTTTCATATAACGAGCGACCTACATCTGGTTTTCATACCCTTCCACTCATTTAGATTCACACGTTTGGGTTTTTTTTCTGTGACACTGTTTTGTGTGGACGTGGACTTCATGCCACTGAACTGTATCTTTTTTTTTTTCTTGCACTATTTATTCTGTATAGAAATGTGATATCAGTGGGTCAATAAACTGTTTTTCAAGAGATGCTTTTTTTTTTTTTTTGCAGTTGCACTTTTGAAAGCACTGATTTTGCAGAACTGTGCAGATTACTGCATGTGGGTCAGAATTTCCCGAAACAACTTATCAAATAACTTTTATCTTCCCCGTCACATCTGAGCGCGAACAGACTTGACTCATCCCTGCTTTCTGCTCAGCCGCTCTCTTTGTGCTTATTCTGTAAGTGTCCGTTAGACAGGGGAAATAAAACGGAAACCCTGAAGCCATCAGCGCTACACAAATGAGTCAGCGCCTAAAACATTGTGCTCCGAGTTGCTTTAACTGATTTTAATGTGACGCTTATCGCATAAAAGCAGGTCACGTAGAGTCGTTTGGTTAAGATTTTAAGAGACACGTTTGAAAGCTGGTTGCGAAAAACAGAATTATTTAAGTTTTTCTAATAAAATATTTGATCCAGTTTAAAAAGATGTACTGAAGCAGAAGTCTCACTTTATTTCAGGTGTGAAAGTGTTTTACTTTGTGGGTTCAGTGTTTAGATGAAGACCATGAACTCCATCTCAGCATATTAAAAACACTGAACATATAGTCTATGTTTAAAATTTATTTTAAACGTATATTTTTACACAGTGTATTCTCCAATACTTTTCTCGTCTATATATTCTAATCTAGCAGCAGAGCCGATGGGCGGCTATCAGATAAATACTTTTCTGAACAGCGCATACAGAAAGTTTTCACACTCTTTCAAGTCTTCCACATTTTCAGGTTTCAGATTCATCTTCAGCTGGATGTGATGCATTTTTAATACGCATTGCATCAGCTACACACAATGCTGCTGGCTTGACGAAGTAAAAACAGCTTCTGGAGTTTTGTTGTGATTTGTTTTTAAAAACTAAAGTGTGAAATATGTCCTTCACAAAAGTTTTCCGACTCGGTTATAACACAACGAAGCTCTGAGATGCTTCTTAATCTGCTACTAATGCGCTCTGCTTCCTCCTTCACTGTCGAGGAGGATCTTCCAATCCTTGTAATGCACCTCGAGGAGATGAGGAGAAGCTTTCGGTAGGGCTCAGACTGAGGAAACACAGCTTTAAACTTCTCTGTTAAATCCTCACTGGGAGGAACTTGGATGCGAAGAAGAGACGTGAGTGAGGAAAGTGAGAAGACATGTTAGCAAGTTGGAAGGCCTCCCACTGCGAGCTACTTATCAGTGGTCGTTGCAACGCCTATAAAAACTTGACTGAAGTCGACCTGTGAGCATATTACTAATAATTAGGAAAGGCATTGACCTGTCTGCATAAGGCTGCAGAGGTGATTGTGGATGTCAGAGTGGTAACCGAACCATGAAGTAGAAAGAATTGTCCACAGAGCGGCCAGGCAGGATGGTGTCGAGGCACAGATCTGATCAGAACATGATGGACTCCCTCGTTCTTAAAAACACATTTTCAAAGTCTGACTGCTCAGCCAAACTGAGTGGGCCTTGTTCAAACCAGTCACCAAGAACCTAATGGTCACAATGCATCTGAAGTTCCTTTGTGGAGGTCAGAGAACCTCACAGAACAACCATCAGTGCAGCTTTCCACCAATCAGACCTTTATGGTAGAACGGCCAGATGGAGGCCTTTCCTGACTTAAAGCACACAACAGCCAGCTGTGAGTTTGCCAAAAGGCTCCTAAATGACTCTCACACCACGAGAGGCAAAAATCCTCTGGTCTGATAAAACTAAGGTTGAACTATTTGGCCACAGTTCCCAATGGGGAACTGCCGAAAGTGGACACAGAGCACCACCTCATGGTGGCAGCATCACGCTGTGAGGATGTTTGTGTGTGGCCGAGGATGGAGAGACCAGTCAGGGTAGATGAAAGACAGATGATGAAAAATATAAGCAATCCTGAGCAAAGGCCATTTGCAGAATGTTTAGGATCTCAGGCCCGGGCGAAGCTTTACATTTAAACCAGACGACAACGCGAAACGTATCGCCAAGACACACAGGAGTGGCTTTGGTCAAACTCTGTGAGAGTCCAGTAGTGTTTCAGCCAGAGTCCAGACATGAAGCCAAACACCTGGTATCAGCGGTGGACTGATGCTCCCCATCCACACTGGTAGAACTTGACCGATTTTGAAAAGAAAATGGGAGAAACTCAAGGTTGCAGGATCTTTCCCAACAACAGCTGAAGGTTGTCACTGCTGCCAAAGGTTCTATAATCAAGTTCTAAGTGAAGAGACTGAACACATAAATGGGATCTTTTGGACTTTCATTTTTCATACATTTACTAAACACTCCCAAAACCAAAGTAAGTAACTCTAAAACAAAAGAAATGTGGAAAACTTGAAAGGGTCTAAAAATGCTCTGCACACATTGTTCAAAACTGTGGATGGGGATTTGCAATGTCCGGTGAAATGGGATATCTGTGTTCCAGACGGTCCCGTGGTTAGTTGGCCAATGGAGTTGCTGGAGGTCAGTGGGGCAGAGTGGATTGCTGTGAAGCAATCTGCTGGTTAAAGAATCTTTCCACTGTGTTCATACACTGCACACTGGTGGAATGATTTCCTGATTACCCCGAAGTGTAAAGGAATGAAGCTTTTGTAAATCGTAAAAGATGATATTCTCTTTTTTCCAGGCTAACAGTGGACATTCTGAAGGCACGTGTGTTACAGTGGGACAAAGTCAGTGCACCATGGTTCAGTTTTCTTTATCCCGTCAGCCACTGTCTGCCCAACAGCTTAGCCTGCCCGTGTGTGTGATTTTTCTTTTGATCCAACCATGTCTGATGCCTTCAGCCCAATGACCCGTGCTGTCTGTTTGGGGAGCGTGACACTGGCCTGGAGCTAAATCAGCCTTTTGTCCGTCCTCATAAGACAAGTCTCCCTGCTTGGCAGAACACAGGACTTGGACTGAAGCTTAGTCCCATTGAGAAACTGGGAGTGAGGGAGGCTGAAAGCAGGTGCTGGTGGAGGAGTGAGTTGGCAGTTTTTCATGCATTGCTGGTTTCTGACAGACCATAAATCGAATTGCTAAGACTGCAAAAAAGGGAAAGGGACTGTTCGAAGGGGAATTATACAAAAAAACTTCAGCATTCTTCTTTCTCTTTTCTTTCGAGAACAGCAGAGCGACACTTCTCAAGAAAGAGAACAGAAGCAGCAAAAAAAAAGTTAAAGGGAGGCAGGGTAACAGGAAATTAGGTACGTGAGTCTGTGATCTGCAAATACAGGTTCACCACAACCATCACATGACGTGGATTTCCGCTTTAACACATCTTGCACTCAGCTGCACGGCAGGGCAGGGCCACACAATCACTGAAGAGCTGCTGCAGCAGGACATGATGGTGCTTTGAAGGACTACTCTACCACGCAGTCCACAATGAATTTCTCTGGACTTCCACGACAGGCCAGCCAAGACAGCTACATTCTGGATAATACTCAGAAGAAGAAAAGCTCTCTGTGGTACCGGCGCTCTTTGAGGGGGAGCAGCGAACGACACCGGCAGAACACGGGCTCTCTGCGCAAGGTGAGATGAGAACTCTGGTGCAACAAATAGCGAGAACATTTATATAGACACTTCTGCAATTTAAATCAAAGTTCACTGTTTTATCTGTGCAACAAAAAACCGCAACAGCTCCTTGAAACTGCACAAAAGCCTTGAAACTATTTAAATCTCTAAAGTTATGCAGCACGACAGGATCAACATGTTCCAACATTAAACTGCTTCTATAGGTTCCTGAGAGTTTTCAAAGCTTAAATCTGTTGCATTGTTCTAAAGAGGAACTCATTACATTTCTCCTTTTGCAGCCCAAACAAACCTCTGCCAACTCGCTGGTTGATTACACTGACCCACAAAGGTAAATATGCCAGAAGTGATGTGCCAGTTTTGCTAGAACTGATGCTTTACCTTTAGCATTCATTTGCAAAAACAGGAAACTCCATCTTCACAAGCGTTCAGAAAACCCACCTGAGACAACATCAGTTAAAGTTATCTGTATTGTTGTCATTTCTACTGAGTCAAATCCACTCAGCTTCAGTTTGATTCGTATTATCTCAAGCAAACAACAAAAAATAAGTTTTCTGAAAATCTACAAAAATGGAGTTTTCTGTTTTGCAAATGAACTCTTCACATGTTAAACACTGTCCATCGTTTTTGCAGCTCATGCCCTTTTGAAAAAGAATTAAGCTTGTTAATAAAAGCCTTCCTTAAATGTTTGTTTTTGCTTTTCTCTTTTGCACAGGACCGCGATTGTGCTGGAAAAGCAAGACAACGAAACATTTGGTTTTGACATTCAGGTGAGCCACATCAGAATAGTTTTCACTTCACGTTCAAGATAATGTGTTGTGGAAAAGTATCGTCTTGCCAAGTTTTGTGACAAAACCCGTCTCTTGTTGCAGACTTATGGCCTGCAGCTGAAAAACAGCTCTGCAGTGGAGATGTGCACGTTTGTGTGCAAGGTGCAGGAGGACAGTGCGGCTGAGAGTGCCGGCCTGACCGCAGGTGAACCACCCACATCCTCTCCACCCTGTAGACTCTTCACAGGCTTTCTTACATGCGGCATAACACTGACCTTGTTTTACCGTCTGTTCGATAAAATTTGACAGATTTGTCGCTCACCACCCATACACACCATGTACGCCTACACACCTACGCCCATGAATTGACCCATCTCGTCTTCTCGTAACTTATCAGTTCCTTGTTTTTGCATCCTCATTTGTCACAGGTGACATTATCATCACTATAAACGGGGCCAGCATTGAGGGATCATCTCATCAGCGCGTACTTGACCTGATAAGAGAATCAACAAACAGTCTAAAGTGAGTAACAATAAAATAACACATGATAAAGGGGAAAAAACCTCTATTATAACAGTGTTTCAGAGTGAAAGTGTGTAATGATGTGTTATGACGTGGTTCCAGGATGGAGACTGTATGTGGAAACATAGTGAAGAAGATCGAGCTGGAGAAGAAGATGAACCAGCTTAAGGTGAGTCTCTTTGTTTGTCATACTGAAGTTGTGTGGTTGTATTAAGTAGCATACAAAACATTAAAGCACACCATCTGTAAGAGTGAAAACACACAAAAAGAAGGCCCATCCTCCAACATTACTCAGCTGAAGCCACATTTCAGAGTCCCTGTGCACTGTCAGATGAAGATGCTGTCCTAGTAGGCAAATTCTCTCAACGCGTGAGTTATAAGAATGTGACTGAAAGTACATACGTGATGTTTTTTTGTCCACACAGCAATCACTACGTGAGAAATTGGTGGAGCTGCAAGCGCTCACATTACAGGAAAAGCGGCTAACGCGAGGTGAGAAGTTTTGTTCAGCTGTCAGACCACAGCACTTCCTTTCTCACAGACATTGCCGTTTCTCTAAAGCTGCACCGTTTGTGAAGTGAATTGAAGTGTAATCCCCAGATAATGGAGATGAAAGTGTTCCCCAGAGCATGAACATTCAGAAGAAGCTGCTGACGCACTTCCTGTTGCAAATTTCTTGCCAGCTGAAACTTTAACCAACGGGGACTTTGTTTTGTTTTCAGGTAACTTAAACGACAACAGTCTCCACCTCTCGACGGACTCTTTAGGCGTCCTGAGTTCCCCCCTGAACCGCCGTGGTCGGCGTTTTTCCAGTGACAGTAGCTACAGGAGCGGGATGACGGATGACAGTGACCAGGCCAGTGTGTTTGGAGATGTGAGCTCCCCCAGTCCCTTCAGTGCAGCCAGCACCACGGACGAAAGCTGCTTCTTCTCCAGAGACCTCTCTTCACTGGACGGCGGGTTTTCATCGAGCTCCAGCCGACATCACCAACTCCTCAGCCGCTCCAGCAGCTCCAGTTTGGCTGGCAGCAGCACCTCCCTCTCTCCTTCCTGGGAGGAAACAAGGATCTCATCCTTGTTTGGGACTCTGCCCAGGAAAGCCAGGAGAACCAATGTACGCAAACACATCCTCAAGTTAATTCCTGGACTCCAGCGATCAGTTGAAGAGGAGGAGACGGGAACCAACACTCAGTGACTTATTAAAGGTGGCAGAAAGAAATGGACTCAGAAATAAAGAGCTTCCCACCTTCTAAAAACTGACTACATGGGAGCAGAGAGAGAAGACAGACATTTAGTTTGACATTTGTTCAGGGCCAAAATGTACAAAAACGCTCCCTGAAACTGTAGCTGAGCCCGGCTTGCTGCTTGGCTTAATGCACAAAAGCATTATGAAAATGAGCAACGGTTAAATGAATGTACAGATGACAGAATGTAAAGTAAAATAGATGAAAATATGTGTCCTACTAACTTGAATCAAACAGTTTTTCTTCCCCATGCCCTAACCTAGAGAGCGTGGTTAGCATTAATCAGAGCAGATTCAGTATTCATGTAGCACCCTGAATTTTAAAACGAGACCATTGTGACATAAAGTACATTAGAGCCACGCTGCGTTATTTTTAGTGTTTAACATTTAAGCAGCACTTAGGAGTTGCTCAGGTGCTAAAAACCAAACCCAAACCTCAACACCATATAGATGGCTGCTCAGCTCAAAACAGGATGTGGGTAGAACAATACTACTTAGCTGTTTTCATTTTCAAAACTATTTTCAGGCGACATGCGGCTCAGTTTCAACGTTCAGTTTCTCGTAAAATCTGAATGATCTGAAAAATAGTGATGTTTTACTTTCAGTGGCAAGAAAATGCAACTTTGCAAAGATCGTGTTTTTTTTTTGATTAATGCTTCATCTTTTGCAATCGAATCAAGATTATATGTAAAAAATGTTAAACAATAAACTTGTAAACTGGTCTCCAGGCATCAGTGTTTTCCTTCAGATCAGTGAGTGAGCACACCCATTATGAGGTCAGATTTTCAACAGAAAGATGAGACATATGAGCGACCTACTCTGGAGAATTCTGATGATGCAGGTGTGACACATTCTGTGTCTGTTTGCGCACCAACGTGTGTGGTTATTAGTTTCAGAAAAGTCCAGGGTGGTGCAAAAATAAAGCTTTAAGATAAGTAGGGTAGAAACCTCATCTATTTCCTGTAAAACAGTCTGACTTCTATGGTTTCCTGCTGCTGCCAGACGACACCCAGTAACAACAAGTAGGCACAAGGAAGCAACAACGAAGCAAACAAAGTGATTAAAATTCATGATGATGCAACAAAACTCAGGATGAGATCATTTAAGAAAATACCAGTACGTCTTGTTCATTGTGCAAAAATAATGGCTTAATTTATGGCTCATAAATGCTTCTTTAACAACGATCATTTAAGAAAACAAGTTGCTCTGCATACAGACAGCATTTACACACTTTAACGATACTTTACTTTTAAAACATTCAAAATCCTGTTCAAGTAAAATGAACTAAACAAAAGTACTCATTCTGCAGCAACTAATATATGAGAGAAACATCAAAATGCAAACAGGCTTTTACTGCTGTTTGATTTGTGGATACTTTCAGCTGTGTGGTGGTGCAGCACAGCGGTTCCCAACATATACAGTCGTCCTCAAATGTAGTCATTAAAGAAAATTCACAATAGTCACTCAAACAATGGGAAATTGAAAAAAGTAATAACAAATAAGAATTTGCTAAATTATGATTTAGTGAAATAATACATTACTTTTGACTTGTGGTTGAAAAGAAAATTAAAGCCGCAAGCGGCGATGGACGGGTCCTCGCACCTACGCTTGTCAGCCTTCGCGCACGTCGGGTTGTGGCGCAAACGTGTTCCCGGCAGGACTCCGATCCGGCATGTCGACTTTCAGGCAGATTGGAGCACGTGCGGCCTAGTTATGAGCCACTTCCTGTTTAGTGGCGAGCCGCGGCGGCATGCGTGTTGGCCGTGGTGGAAATGTCTTTGGAGGAGATAAATTTTGAAAATGGCCAAAAATGGCCAAAAGTCACCCAGAATCACCAAAATTGTTACTGTGTCTTTTCAAAAAATGGCGGACTTCCTGTTGGGTTTAGGACTTGGTGCTGATTGACTTTTTTGTGCGTCCTGACCTGCTACACATGCCCACCGAATCTTGTAGCTGTAGGTGAAACGACCTTCCGACAAGAGTCAGTTGAATACAAAAAACACCGCGAAAATGGCCAAAATGGCCATTGATCGAAATTGGACGGGCCGCCATTTCCAAACCGGGCCTCAGCGGAGCATTTGAAGAAATACTTTATGTAAAAAACACTTTATGTATTTGG